AATTTAGCTACATTTCAAAATGAAACACCATTTGAAACCAAAAAGTCAAACCATTAGAAAATGTCAAAACAAACTTAAAAAAAAATTAAAAGTTTTTAATCAGCCAACATTATTTCTCCTGAATATTGTAATGAGTTTTGGTTACCCTGGAAGTGCGTTCTTCAGCAAATGTACTATGCAATTAAAAAATTTCACCCAACTCTTCTCCATGTTGCTTAGACTGTGATATATAAATGATCGCAAAGAGGCTTATGGTGCATAAACAACAGTTAACATAACATGCAAAGCCAAACCCACCCTGAGATCAGCTTTATTAATCAAGGGAACAACAGTAAAACAACAAAGAGCAGCTCAGGCCTCCTCCTTATGAGTGGCTGCTCCCAGGGTCCTCCTTCAGCTTTGCTCTGCCCACATCCTAGGTCATCTCTCCTCAGAGACCCACTCCAACCTCCCTTAAATCCAGATGAGTCTCCCATCTAGTGACTCAGCAAAATCCTTGTATTCCTTTCCCAGTAGGATCAATATTTACTAACAGGATGGGATGTTCAGATAAACAAATGCTAGCCTGGTACACATCTCTGTCTCATAGCTAGTGCTTCCAAATATCAGTTCTCTGTATTTTTTTTATTCTGTCATCATGTTTCATGTAGAAATGGTTTTAGAGTTGAATAAATTCTTATTACATTGGAATCAAGAATCCGTGACTCTCTCTAAACTAGACCAGTCACTAATGAACATGCTTACTTGCCAGTGTATAAATGTATCTAATTAGTAGAACTGGTTAGAAAACTAATTTTTTTCCCTATGAGAAATTTTGAATGCAAAATGTTTGTTCAAAATGTTTTGGTTGGAAGTTTGGAACCAATTCACACAGAGCATTTTTGTTTTGAATCCCCATTTATTTGAAACCAAACTGGAATTTTAAGTCAACACAAACATTTTAATTTCCAAATTTCCTTTGGGAAAACTGACAATATATCGGGGAGAGGAAAGGGCGGGAATGTTGGTGATTGGAACTAGGATAATTCAGATTAAACTGTGAAAAAAACACACTTGGAAAAAATCTCTTCCAAGCACTCAGAGAGAATTTGCTGAGCAGATATTTACTTTTTTTGTTTAAAAGGTGATGTACAAGGGTCTGGTGGATTTTCCATCATTTGGGGTCTTTAAATCAAAATGGAGCATCTTCCTAAAAGATACACTCTAGCTCAACCGTGGGCTCGATACAGGAGTAAATCAGTGAACGTCTCTGGCCCGTGTCATACAAGTGGTCAGGCTGATGCTCTAATGGTCCCTTCCTGAATCTACAATAAGAAATGCAAAAGCTGTTTGGGGAATGTAGGTCCTTTTCTCTCCATGAAATTCTGTGTGCGTGTTTTGTGTTGGTTTGGGGCAAAATTTTGCATCAAAAATATTCAGGTTTTCAAAATCTAACTATTTTTGGGTGGTTTTTTTTTTTTTTTTGGATAAAAGCTTGAAAAATATTTGAAAACAGAAATTTCTGTTTCGATGGAAAAGCCACTGGCAAAAAAACACTTGCTGGAAAGTTTTCACCCAGCTCTAATGCAAAGCTCTATTTCTTCACAAGCAGAGATCTCCATCACAGAGCTCTGAGTCATTACTTTTTCTATCTCTCCTCTCTCCTGTTAATCCTAAATGCTAATGAGTATAGATTATTCTTGATACATGGTCTTGTTTGGTATCTACTGGTGTCCTACCAGCCTTAAAAATTCTACTTTCTGTCTTTCCCTGCTTCCATTCTCCCTTTTTGTTAATATTGGCTGGCACATTTCGCCTTTTCCCCAGCAAGATGGAGTTAATTTAAATTTAAATTAATGGAGATATCCTATCTCCTAGAACTGGAAGGGACCTTGAAAGGTCATCAAGTCCAGCCCCCTGCCTTCACTAGCAGGACCAAGTACTGATTTTTGACCAAGCCCCCTCAAGGATTGAACTCACAACCCTGGGTTTAGCAGGCCAATGCTCAAACCACTGAGCTATCCCTCCCCCCAAACAAAGGTGCTGTGGCTGGTAGATGACAGGATTTAGATTTTAAGCTTCCCGCTATGTCCAAGGAAGATCTTGAAGAGCTAGAGGCCGCCATCAACAAAGGAAACCTTTCAGAGGTGGCTTCCAAAGTGCAGGAATCCCTGGAGCTATGGAAAAATGCTAAGCTCGATATCACCATCACAGGGAAGTCGGGTTCCGGGAAATCATCCTTCGTCAATGCCATGCTTGGTGATGATGGAAGTTGATGATGAAGGTGCAGCCATGGCTTGCCAATCATGTTTCCTCATCCCAAACACCCCAATGTGAGGATATGGGACCTACTTGGAATTGGGATTCCGAGATTCCGGCCCAACACCTACTTCCAGCAGGTCAACTTTGCCTGCTAGGATTTCTTCATCATCCTTGTTTCACACAGGTTCAGATCCACCCATGCTGACCTGGCCCAGGAGTTCCAGAGGATGGGGGAAAAGTTCTCTTTTGTGCACTCCAAGGTGGACATGGACTTGTGTAATGAGAGAAGGAAAAAGAACTTCAGCCAGGAGGGTGCCCTGCAGAGAATCCGAAGTGACTGCATCGAGTCGCCACAGAGACAAGGGGTGAGCTCCCGACAGGCTTTCCTCATCTCCAGGTGGGAATTCGACCAGTACGATGCTCCCTGACTGCAAGAAGCTCTGGCAGATGAAGTCGATGCTCACAAGAGACATGTTTTCCTTTTGCCCTACCCAGCATTTTCAGACCCATCTTCGAAAGGAAGACGAAAGCCCTGCAGGGGCAGGTCAGGGTACAAGCCCGCACCATCTCTGCTGTTTTTAATCTGGCTCTCTCCATTGCTTGTGACTTCCCCAGTTGATGGACTGCATGTCAAGTTACTGCAAGAGCTTTGGCTTGGATGATGACTCCCTGGTTAACTTTGCCCAGCAGGTTGGGAAGCCTGTCGTGGACTTGAGAGCTGTAGTAAGGTCTCCGTTAGGCAAAGAAATATCTAGTCATTTTACTTTGAATCTGCTGGCTCAGGCTGGAGGTGGTTGCATGACAAGAACCAGACATATCCTCAATGCGATACCATTGGTCGGTAGTTTGGTGGAGTGTGATGGGGTGTTTGGCTCACACTGGCCCATAAGGGAGGCTGTGCAGGAGGCAGCCAATTAGAGAGGGGCTGCGTGGAACAGTCAATTAGGGCCGGGCTGGCCCATATAAGAAGGGCTTCAGAGCAGCATCAGTTACTCTCTGGAGCTCAAGGAGAGAGGACTAGCTGCCTTGCAGTCAGTATGAAGCTAGCACCCTCGACAGAGAAGTGCTGGGCAGGAACAGGGGAGTGAGAGAGCGTTTCTGACTGGCCTCTAAGGCCAGCCTGCTGAGGCCTGAGATAAGCATGAAGAGGGTCCCGGAGTCACCTGGGAAGTGGCCCCGGGATAGTGGACTGCAGTTACCACTGAGGGAGTGGTGGGACTGAGATTGCTGGTCCCCCAGGAGGAGGAAACAGAGTGTGGCAGAGCCAAAGAGCAGTGTCACTGAAGAGGATGCTGTGGTCCGTGGAGAGACACGGGTCCAGGAACAGAGGTGAGACACCACCAGAAGAGGGAGCAGTGCTAATTCCCAGAACAGCCAGTAGGGGGCACCGCAATGGTGAGTCGCGCCCCGTCACACTCCCATGGAGGCACAGATGGCTTTTTCGGACACATGCACCATCCTGCAGCACTTTCTGGATAAGGTGGCTGAAGATGCCCAAAGGGTCCTGATCAAAGCATTGGAGGCAGAAGAGGAAAAGTGAGTTTGGGAGCACCACAAGTTCAATAGTCCCCATGCAGAGACTCTCAAAGGAGCTGGGCACCAGGGGCTGGAGTTTCTCACCCACTAGAGAATGTTATTATGATTAATCATTTGTATTAATAGACGGAGCACCGGACTTGACCGCAGGAGACGTGGAGTCTGTTTCCAGCTCTGCTGCTGGCTGGCCAGTTGACCTTGGAGAAGTCACTTCTCTTCTCCGTGCCTCAGTTTCTCCATCTGTGAAAAAAAGATAATGATATTGACCTCCTTAGTAGAGCGCTTTGAGATCTGTGGATGAAAAGTACCATAGAAGAGCGAGGGATTATTACTGTTATAGTTATTATGATTACGATAGCATGTAGGAACACCAGTTGCATATCAGTAAACCATTGTGCTAGGCACGATACAAACATGTAAGACAATGTACAAAAGCAAGACAGGCCAAGAGAAAGAATGTTCCTGTGGTTAATACACTGGCCTGGAGCTCACAGGACCCTAGTCAGCTGGTGGGGAAAATCTATGGGTCAGAATCTCCACCTGGTGTGAATGGACCATAGCTCCATTGGAGTCAATGGGGCCAGATCCCAGCTGGGGTCAATCAGCCTTGGTTCCACTGGGGTTCTCAAACATCTTAGGCATTATTAATAGTTATTTTATTCTTTAAAATACCAGCTTAATGAGATCAGTGGAGTTTTACACCAGAGGTGAATCTGGGCCAATGGTAAAACCAAGTACTTAGCAAGGCTTCAGATGACTCATAGACTCATAGTCTTCAAGGTCAGAGGGACCATTATGATCATCTAGTCTGACCTCCTGCACAATGCAGGCCACAGAATCTCGCCCACCCACTGCTGTAATAAACCCCTAAACTATGTCTGAGCTATTGACGTCCTCAAATCATGGTTTAAAGACTTCAAGGTGCAGAGAATCCTCCAGCAAGTGACCCGTGCCCCATGCTGCAGAGGAAGGCGAAACCCCCCCAGGGCCTCTGCCAATCTGTCATGAAGGAAAATTCCTTCCCAACCCCAAATATGGTGATCAGCTAAACCCTGAGCATGTGGGCAAGACTCACTAGCCAGACACCCAGGAAAGAATTCTCTGTAGTAATTCAGATCCCACCCCATCTAACATCCCATCACAGGCCATTGCGCATATTTACCTGCTAATAATCAAAGATCAATTAATTGCCAAAATTAAGCTATCCCATCATACCATCCCCTCCATAAACTTATCAAGCTTAGTCTTGAAGCCAGATATGTCTTTTGTCCCCACTGCTCCCCTTGGAAGGCTGTTCCAGAACTTCACTCCTCTGATGGTTAGAAACCTTCATCTAATTTCAAGTCTAAACTTCCTCATGTCCAGTTTATATCCATTTGTTCTTGTGTCCACATTGGTACTAAGCTTGAATAATTCCTCTCCCTCCCTGATATTTATCCCTCAGATATATTTATAAAGAGCAATCATATCTCCCCTCAGCCTTCTTTTGGTTAGGCTAAACAAACCAAGCTCTTTGCATCTCCTTTCATAAGACAGGTTTTCCATTCCTCGGATCATTCCTAGTAGCCCTTCTCTGTACCTGTTCCAGTCTGAATTCATCCTTCTTAAACATGGGAGACCAGAACTGCACACAATATTCCAGATGAGGTCTCACCAGTGCCTTGTATAACAGTACTAACACCTCCTTATCACTACTGGAAATACGTCGCCTAATGCATCCTAAAACCGTATTAGCTTTTTTAATGGCCATATCACATTGGCGGCTCATAGTCATCCTGTGATCAACCAATACTCCGAGATCCTTCTCCTCCTCTGTTACTTCCAACTGATGCCTCCCCAATTTATAACCAAAATTCTGGTTATTAATCCCTAAATGCATGACCTTGCACTTTTCACTATTAAATTTCATCCTATTTCTATTACTCCAGTTTACAAGGTCATCCAGATCTTCCTGTAGGATATCCCGGTCCTTCTCAGTATAAGCAATACCTCCTAGCTTTGTGTCATCCACAAACTTGATTAGCACATTCCCACTTTTTGTGCCAAGGTCAGTAATAAAAAGATTAAATAAGATTGGTCCCAAAACCGATCCCTGAGGAACTCCACTAGTAACCTCCTTCCAGCCTGACAGTTCACCTTTCAGTATGACCCATTGTAATCTCCCCTTTAACCAGTTCCTTATCCACCTTTCAATTTTCATATTGATCCCCATCTTTTCCAATTTAGCTAATAATTCCCCATGTGGAACTGTATCAAATGCCTTACTGAAATCGAGGTAAATTAGATCCAGGACATATGCACTGCCTGTGTCCCAGCATGCTCCAGCCTATGTCATCTCAATAGCTCTGTGGGCTTATGGGTGTGATGAAGGCTGTTTTTCATTGTCCGCTAATAGAGTCAGATTTATTTTTTATTGAAAAAATCCATAATTGCCGAAAACCAAACTATTTTGTCTTGGAAGGGCAGCTGCAATTCCTCATGGGAGTTGTAGTTCGTTTCCCCCATGTCCCCATTCTCCTCTATGGGTGAAGATCCCCGGCTGGACTACGTTCCCCATGATGCACTATGGTGAGAGGTTCTGGTCATTTTCTGCCTCGCTCTCCAAGAGGGGAAAGTGTGGTGCATCATGGGAAATGTAGTCCGACCAGTGACTCTGGTCTATAATAGCAAATGGAGGCATGAGGCACCTGAACTACAACTCCCATCACAAAAGCATTTCCACATCAAAATATTTTGGTTCATGATATTTTTTTTGCAAACCCCTTCCATTTTCTAACCGTAGTTATTAATTATGTATACAGGAACTCCTCACTTAAAGTCGTCCCGGTTAATGTTGTTTTGATGTTAAATTGCTGATGAATTAGGGAACATGCTCGTTTAAAGTTGTGCAATGCTCCCTTCTAACGTCGTTTGGCAGCCGCCTGTTTTGTCCACTGTTTGCAGGAAGAGCAGCCCATTGCAGCTAGCTGGTGGGTTGTTGGAACCAGGGTGGACCGGCAGCCCCCCAGAAGCTCCCCCTATCAGCTCCCCACTCCCCTAAGGGTTCCCTGTGCAGCAGCTGTCCCTCCCACCACTGCCATGTGCTGCTCGTGCCCTCTGCCTTGGAGCTGCTCCCAGAGACTCCTGCTTGCTGTACGGGGGGAGGGTGGAAGAGGGGGGCTAATGTCAGGGTGTCCCCCTCCCCCCTGCTCCTGCACCCCGCTTACCCCATCTTCCATCGAGTGGGGAGGGGACACAGGAGGAAGGGAGCTTCTAGGCAGTAGCTGTGGTCTCAGGTCTCAGCAAGCTGATTTAATTGACAAGGCAGTGTACTTAAGCCTGGGGTCAGCTACTCCTGCTGCCTTGTAGAGTGTTGTGAGAGTTAACCCTTGAGGGCTCAGCTGAGTGCTAGTTCATCATTTAGCAGTAAGGCATTCCCCGGGAAATATCCCACCCTCTGACTCCACCACCTCGACCAAGCTTCACAATCATCATCACTGTGTACCAGTATTAAATTGTTTGTTTAAAACTTATACTGTGTGTGTGTGTGTATATATATAATATAGTCTTTTGTCTGGTGAAAAAAATTTCCCTGGAACCTAACCCCCTCATTTACATTAATTCTTATGGGGAAATTGGATTCGCATAAAGTTGCATTTTTCAGGAACATAACTACAACGTTAAGTGAGGAATTCCTGTGTTAGTGCCCAGCACAATGAGGCCCCAATCTCGTCAGGGTCTGTGTGGCGCCTGCCATCATGGAGGCGCTGATCTTAGTTGGGGTTTGTGCAGCATGCGGTAGAGTGGAGGCCCCAATCTTGGTCTGGTTCTGTGCAGCCCCTGGCATAGTCGGGGCTCTGATTTTGGGGGGCACCTCTGCAGTGACAGCGCGCTAATCTCAAGTGGGGTCATTTCTCTAAATTAAATAATTAATAATAATAATTAATAATAATGGGCAACTTAGACAGTCCCAGTTCTGTGCCCTAACAACTTGACCACAGCTGGTTGGGTGAAAGATGAGCATGATTAGCATATTTCTCTTCTCTTCCCACCACCTCCAGGGAGATGGCTGCTACAGAAGAGGTATCAAGGAACATATTTCAAGATCTGGATGTTAAACTCCCTGGTATGTCCGAGAAGGATCTTGAAGAGCTAAAGGCAGCTGTTGAAACAGGGAATCTTTCAGAAGCAGCTTCCAAAGCACAGGAGGCCCTGGAGCTGTCAAAAAACACTGAGCTCAACATCGCCATCACGGGGGAGTCGGGATCTGGGAAATCTTCCTTTGTGAACGCCATGCTGGAGTTAGACGACGATGACAAAGGAGCAGCAGTGGTTGGCATCACCGAAACAACAATGGAGCCAACCGCTTATCTGCATCCCACGCTCCCCAATGTGAAGATGTGGGACCTGCCTGGGATTGGGACTCCAAGTTTCCGGCCTGACACCTACCTTCAGCAGGTCAGCTTTGCCCGCTATGACTTCTTCATCATAGTCACTTCAAAGCGCTTCAGATCCTGTAATGCAGACCTAGCCCAGGAGATCCAGAAGATGGGGAAGAAGTTCTACTTTGTGCGCTCCAAAGTAGACGAGGACTTGAGAAACGAAAGTAGAAAAAGAAACTACAATCAGGAGACCACCTTGCAGACAATCCGAGACGACTGTGTGGAGAAGCTGAGGAGAGATGGGGTAAATTCCCCGCAGGTTTTCCTCATTTCCAGGTGGGAATTCAACCAATACGATTCTCCCCAACTGCAGGAAACTCTGGCCAGTGAATTGGACTCTCACAAGAGACACATTTTCCTCTTGGCGCTTCCCAACATCTCAGGGCCAATCCTGGATAAGAAAAAAGAAGCCCTGAAGAGCCAGATCTGGAAACGAGCCCTGAAGTCGTGCGCCATCGCGGCTGTTCCCATCCCCCACCTCTCCGTCTCATGTGACGTTGACATCCTGGTGGAATCTATGACCGAGTACTGCAAAGTCTTCGGTTTGGATGAAGAATCCCTCATTAAACTCTCCACACAGGTCAGGAAACCCGTGTCTCAGTTGAAGGATGTGATCAAGACCCCGTTGGCCAAGGAAATATCAAGGGAAGCTGCTTTGGAGCTGTTGGGTAAAGTTTCAGATAGTGTAAGAAGGTCATTCACCTTCGGGCTTTTAGAATCATTTAAACCTAAATCATCTAAGCCTACTCGTCTTGCCTGGGAGCAAGGGGACAAGGAGAAGGGTAATGCCATGATAAATATTAAAAAGTACATAAGCCTCCTACCAGTCTCTGGAACCCTTGTAGCCACACAGATCTCATTCCTAGCTACATACAACGCCCTGCATTCCTTTCTGGAAGGCGTTGCTGAGGATGCTCACCGGGTGCTCACTGAGGCTCTGGCGGTGGCAGAGAAAAAGTCCGTTTAGTGGCACCGGGGAGGATGGCGTTGCAGTCAGAGTGTTGGAGTGTGACTCAGGAGAACTGCCTCCACCACAGCCTGCCTCTGAGACCTTCATCACGTCTAGTCATCTCTGTGCCTTAGTTTCCCCCACCTATAACATGGAGAGCATAATCCTTTGTCTACTTAGACTGTAAGCTCGTTGGGGCAGAAACTGTGTCTCCCTCTGTGTCCGTGCAGCACCCGGCACAACGGGGCCCTGATCTGGGTCGGGGTTGTAGAGATAATGTTTGTTGAGGATTATAATTCAGAGACGCTCCCACATAATGAAGTGTATTATGAATGCAGGAATTTAGTGATGTGCCCTGGAAGCTGGGTTGAGAACCCAGTACAGCTGTGCACAGCAATTCAAAAACAAACTAGAAGCTCTCTAGTTTGTTTTATTAAAGTTGTATTCCTGTGAGTCACAGATGCACAGGACTCATGCTCTCTAGGCTCCGAACGGTCCCTGGGAGGACCCCCCTTCAGTGTGACAGCCCTATTCGGGGGTCCACTCTCTCTCGGGGGTAAAGCCCTGGACTCCAGCGCCTCCTGGAACCACACCTCTCTAAGGGCATGTCTACACTTATCTCCAGGGCGATCGATCTGGCGGGGGTTGATCCAGCGGGGATCTAGTGAAGATGCAATAAATCTACCACCGAACGCTCTCCCATTGACTCCGGTACTCCACTGGAGTGAGAGGTGCAGGAAGAGTCGACAGGGGAGTGTCAGCTGTTGACTTACCACATTGAAGACACCGCGGTGAGTAAGTCTAATCACGTCGACTAAGTTGCATAACTTAGATCGACCCCCCCCCCAGTGTAGACCAGGCCTGAGCTTTAGCATGCCTGGTTCTGCCGTGGGCCCCCTAAGGGAGTCCCCTTGCTCTGGACCCCCGGGGCCTCCACACCCAGAGGGAATAATTCTCCCTGTTCTCTAGTCCGGAGTGACTCTCAGCCAGCGTAAAACAGGAGGGTTTATTGAGCGTGTGAACCCAGCACAGGAAACTCTCCAGCCTCCCTCAGCCCAGCACATCCAAGGCTCCCCTGCATCCAGGTGGGCTCTGCCTGCTCCCTCTCTCCAGTTGAATGAGGTGTGAATGAGGAAGGCGTGGAAGGCAAGCACCTCCAGACACCTGCAACAATTGGAGAGGGGATGGAAGCCAGGCCCAAGAACAATACAGCTTGTCAAGTGGGCTCACTAAAGAAGATCACACATATTGACGGCCTTGGGGGTTAGAAGCGAGAACCTTCTTTTGGAAACATCCTCTTTGAAAATAAATGTGGCAGCATTAAGACAACACCCAGAAGGACCAACTGACACAGACACAGATTTTGCATCCGGTAGAGATTGGCATGAGAGGGAAGCTACTATAAATGTGAGGTGTCTTGTAGAGGACCCCGGGTCTCATCTTGTCAACATCGGAGCATCGATCCGGATTGGCAGAAGCCCGGCTCCATCCCTCCCCCATCTAACTCACCTGGCCAGTGAAGTTAAGGGGAGCAACTAGTTGGTAGCAACAAGAAGACGGAGTGTCCTTGTGTGTGTGAGTGCGTGAGTGTAATATATATCATATGCATATGATACAGTGTTGATTGATGCATGTATTACCAATAAATGTGGCGCTTTGCCTTATTCCCCCTGAAAAGATCCTGTGCAGTACTTTAATTACAATCCCCCCCCCCCCCCCCCCCCCCCCCCGCTTCCCAGCTGGGCATCTGATATCACCGGCCCCAAGCCCCACCTCTGTCCTTTGTCTTCTGTCCAGGTAAACAAGTCGCCTGGGTCCCCTCTCCTCTCATCCGTCCTTTGTTCCCCTCTGGCTGGAACCGGCTGGTCAGGTCACTGGTGTCCTCTCCCCTCAACCCATTGTCCTCCCACTGGCCAGAACCAGCTGTGACTCTATAGAGCAATATATTAGAGGGCTTTCCCTCCACCCTGTCACTTCCCTGGTTCTTGTCACACAGACAGCAAGCAGCAAAAGACCAGCAGTCCGTAGTGCAGACAATGTGATGTTCATTGGGGTTAATGTCCAGCAAGCATGATTCCAATTTCCGTTCCCCCCACTTCCTGTTTGACCCCAGTTTATATAGTAATATTCTCAGCTGTACCTTAACCAATCATTTTACTGAAATTCAACTAACCAATCCTGACACAATTCTCAAACCAATTATATCTCATTACCCTAATTAATTTACACCTAGCAAAATGAATTATACAGCAGACAGAAACAATTACAGATCCAGACTGATTAAGAATAGAAAAGTGGGGTCCATTAAGATAAAACAGACAGAAATGAGGGTTTCACAACCACAACCATTGAG